GGGGGGGGGGGGGGGGGGGCTTCTAGTCGGAGGTTTACGGTATATCATGTCAGATTACTAGCATGATTTGTACCCAATGTTGAATACATGACAACTGAAGAAGAATATTTGATAATTACCGGGGAAGAAGGCTCACTTTGTTCGGGCATGTCTTGCGAATGTCCAGTGGCGAAGCTAGCTATAACAACAGGTGATACTGTGTAAATTTTTAATGATTTGCATTATTCAAATCTTTAGAAATGTATTGTCGTCAACCTATTTAGATGCAGGTTTATTAGCACAGTATGACCAGTTGCCATGGCTAGCCTCGCCACTGCGAATGTCTCAAGAAGGAGTGACCAAAATCACGAAGGAAAGCTTTCCTGAGGTTGGGAGAAGAAGGTCAACCAAGTGGTAAAATTTTGAGAGAAGAGAAAAGACATCGCCCAAAGAGAAGTCAATTGAGGAGAATCGTGACTGAATGGGTGAACTCGTAAGATACGTCAAAAACGAAATACCAACCATGTTTCTTGAATGTTCAGAACTTCCAACCGCTTGGGGAACTTTCCAGTTATTATTTGCATGATCGTCCTTGTCTAGCATGCGAGCGTCACGTGCTTGCATATAATTCTTTTCAGGCCACAGCCTACTCTCCGACACTTGCGGTAATGTTCTAGCAAACTTCAAACGTGACGTACCTTGTGACGTCATCTTGCCATTATGGTGAGGTGCTTGTATGTTTTCCTCGCGCTTGCGTTTCGCCAGGCGATTCAACAACCGTTCACGAATCACAAGTTTCCGCTCAGAGTCCCGCAAGCTTGACGGTGGATAGAAACCGTTTGGATTGAAAATTTTCGTCTTGAGCTCGGCTTGGTCGTGATCCTTTGTGCCTGTAAGACGATTGATTACAAAATCTCGTATCGTCTTCTTTCGATCGTCATGTTCAATACCTCCTTGTATTGCTTTGAGATTGGGCATTGAGAAACTTGAAGCGTTACATACGTCGTCACGGAGAAGCGGCGCGGCTTCGAAATGTCCACGCGAGGGAGGAGACAGTCGAGGGACACGGTCTTGGGGTATCTTCCGTAGGTTAGGCATGGATAGACTAGACGTTGAGAGAGCTATAAGATCACCTTGACTCTCTGGGTCACTTTCAATTTCGTCTTCTTCCTCCGAATTCACTTCATTTTCTTTCGGAATAAACTGAAGATTGGGCATGGATTTTGTTTTAAATCCCAGATTAACTGCAGGACGTTTCTCACTCACTGTCGACGATTCTCCTCGTTCGTCGTTTCCATCCCGATTTAACTGTTTTAGAGATTCACATGTTCTCAACCCACCAGCGGGTTTCTGGATGTCTCGAGTGGGTAGGGAAGAACAACTGGGAGTTTTCATCATATACCCCGAGTAGCCTGGTATCGAAGTAACATTCACTATACGAGAATTCACAGGTACATTACCATGCCAATGGTAATATGGTGACCAATATTCGGGAACGTACTTGTAAGGATATTGTCCTGCGATGTGCAGATCGCCGCTAGCTATTCTCGAACCATCACCTGATCTGCGTTCTTTAATGGACGATACGTGCTGACGTGACTCAGAGGCGTGGCCATGTAATGGTTTGTCTATAATTCCATTCTCTTTTCGTTCTGTAACTGTGTCTTCAAATCTTGTCTTGGAAGGACTATGATGATTCACTGGTCGTCGGCTTTGAGTCGAGGTAATTTCGTCTCGTCGTTCTTTCTTTATAAACACTGTTTCTCTAGTTAGAGTTGCTGTATCTTCCATATTCTTGGATCTTAGGTAGTCGTCAACGAAGCTATCCAGTAGCCATTTAAGAGCAATGTAGTTATTCTCGAAGCGAAGTTGCTTTTTAGTTGCCTCCCAGCGATCTTTTATACGCTTTGCATTTGAACCGTAGCCAACGAAAATGGAGTGATCTGATAAACTCCTGTCCTGTATGTCCACCATTTTTGTCGGTTTCATTGATTGAACGTAACTGGAAAAAACAACATGTAAGAATCAGTGAGTGCATGCATGTGCTGGTACATGTGTACATTTCAGGAGAACATTGGTGGAACTAGTTATCATAAAAATTATGAGCACTGAATTGGGAGTTCAATTGTGCTGATCACGTGGGCGATGTGACATAGGGAAAAGTCGTTTAGTCAGCTTAACTCATTATAGTCTCCCTTTGATCAGTAAAATGGTGTACCGTTAGAAGGAGTAATGATATATTACTGTAAGACGTAATGGGGCGAATTGCACATAATCGCAGGCAGCCCGACTAGTACGTCCTATTTAATATCTCCATACAGTTATATCAAAGCAGTCGGTGTAGAAACACGTGGTAATTTGCATACTTTGCAGCCCAATGCTGTTTCACGATGGACGCATCTCTCAAACGTGATTAAGTCGAAGACTTACGACCACGCCTCTGTGGTTGCCGCCATACGAATCATAACTGAACACGCAGCAAAACCTAGGTGTCGCTTTCCTTACCTTACATAGGAGAGTTAAACGCTGATTATGCTAATAAGCAGAGTATATATGCTGTCTGCGTCTCGACTTCTAAGTGCGTAAAGTGCATTAGATTTGACCATCACAAAATTATATATTAAAAATACATGCTTACCCAATGGCTTAGCCTGATGACGATGTGAAATTATTCATTGCTTGTATAATGCAAGAAGAATATTATTGTAATTATAGTTGTAAAAACATGTATAATCTTGAAAATGCTCAAGTCGAACAAATGCATATTAAGTGGCCAAATACTACTATAAAAAGTAATATTTCGAAGTTTACTGACCATATTTAAACTAACCTGCACTGTATTCTATACACTAATCTTATAATACGATTTTTATTCTTTGACTTAGTACAAAAACCCGCATTAAGAAGATTGCGAATAAACCAAAATCAGTAAACAAAATAAACAAGTTTTCGTTGGTAGCGATGCAACTACGTGATAAATATAAAGAAAATTTCGACGTTTCGAGCGAAGGCCCAGTACGAAGGTAGTTTTTAGAGAGTTTCATCCCTACCAACGAAAGCTTGTTCATATTCTTGACACTACCTGCACTGACACTGACACTTCAAGATTATAAACAAAATAAAACCATTTAATAAGGCCAAAAATATGTGGGTTTCCGGTTTCTTCTTATAAAAACTTAGGTAGGGTAGGTCGGTTTTAACTTTTTTTTTTTAACTTTTTTTTTAATTTTCCGAACAACCGGACGCCATTTTGTTTAGTCGGTGCTTCCACATCCAAAGATAAATTTCCCTAATATTGCCTCAAATTTCAATTTTCCACAAACTTTTTCCTCTAAGTGGAAACACTTACAAGCGTGATCCAATAAAAAAGTTTAGGGTCGGGATTTCGACGTCCAAAAGCTAGGTAGGGTCGGGAAACCGGAAACCCACATATTTTTTTTTTGGCCTAAGGGCAGATGTAATGGCAACGTAATCAAACATAATCCAATACAAAAATTTCAAACAGTATGTTTGGAGTGCGCTTTCAGATTCATGAAGGCCATATCCATTACCAGCCAGCCTAAAGGTTTTCACTGACCGATAACTTTAAATTTTCCAAATATTTAGAGCGTTATAACATTTTGAGTTATTTGGTCTACATATCTTCTAAAATTTGCTCTCATTGGCTGTTTTATTAACTTTCAAAAACTAAAAAATCGCGTCGCGTTGTCGAATCGCGTCCGGTGTGTCTGGACCTTAAAGGTCCATACTAGCCTGCGTGCAGGCCCAAGGGAACTTGATAGTGGGCCTGCAACCATCACCCCATGTTTTCGATTTTCGCCGGCCGAACCGCCGGCTAAATTCCCATTGGCTAGCTGAGGCGATCGGTAATTAATTAACCTAGCCCATTGTGCAGACACAAGGGAACAGTGATTCATCACAAAGGCATAGACAAAGGCTCTCGATAAGCTTAAAATTTGAAAATTGATCACTTTTTTCGATTACAAATGGAACAAGAACAGACTGTTTATTGTTTACTTGAAGGAAGACATGTTTTTGCCGTTATGCCAATGGGGATTGCTTGTCGTGAGGTGTTGGAATAGCAACATTACGACTGGGGTAAACTATAGTAACCTTTACTTGAGTTTCATTAATTTCAAACAGACTTCAGTTGATACGTTATGTGTTGTCACTTCCTCAAGAAAATTATCTTTTGGTTGATGTTGAGATGCAGTTGGATGTAAGAACTGTAAGCCTATTCGAAACACTTTGCGATTTACAAGGCTTCGCAGAGAGAGCGAAACAGAAGGCGGTATTAAATTGCCGTTTGAAACGAAACGATCTGGACTCGGAACGCTCTCTTCTTTTGTAGAGTTCTTTACCAAATGAAATAAATTTCGTACTTTCCGCCGCCAACAAGAATTGCACACACGATCTGATAAGTGAGACAATTTATTTATAACAATGCCAATGGCGACAGCGAAGCACACATAATATAAATCCTAATGTGGTCGCCCGACTTCCCTAATTTGCCTGTTCCGATTTTAGTTGAAAATGAGCACTTGCAAATTTGGCAATTACTGACTGCGTTGCTTGCTTTTTTGGAGTTAAAACGCAGCCATTTACACATTGTTTATTAGTGTTCTGAATAAGCAGAGAAAACCCCGCAATATTTTAATGCGAGTTTGTTTGTTAATATTTGGGTGCTGTCATTGGTTCTTTTTTGACAATTGACGCGCGAATGGGGCGTGTTATGAAAAGGGGCGTATTTCAAAATACCGGGCGATGGTTGCAGGCCCACTATCAAGTTCCCTTGGGCCTGCACGCAGGCTAGGTCCATACAGACCGGACGCGATTTGGCAACGCGACGCGAATTTTCAATTTTCAATGACATTTAATTTCAATATTTTTCTATGTTTTTTAAATATTCGGAACCACTTAAGCAATTTTAGCTATTTGGTCTGCATATCTTGTAAAATTTTTATCCGTTGACGGTTTTATTTGTTTTTAAAAACTGAAAATTCGCGTCGCGTTGTCGAATCGCGTTCGGTCTGTATGGACCTTAATACTTCCTCTACGAACGTGAAAAAGTTTCAGGCGGTACAAAACTTTGCTTGCTTGTAGAATCATCATTAATACAAAGAAATTTTATCATATTACGCCAGCTTTGCGTAGTTTAAACTGGTTAATTAGGCTCTTTATCAGCGCAATAATTAGACCATTTATCAGGGAAGTTAGCGCTTTAAGTGCGCTTACAATTAGTAGGGGGTCTTAGTTTAGTACAGTAGGTTCTTGTTTAGTACACTAGTTTCTCTGTGGGGTCATGTTTATATTGCAGAGTCTGTCCAGTGTAGGTAGTGGCATGAATAAGAAAGTTGGGAATTGATGGGGACACAACTAAATGAAAAATACAAGGAGAACTTCGGCCCTAAGTGCCTTCGCTCAAAATGTTGAAATTCTCCTTGTATTTTTCAGGAAGTTGTATCCCTTTCCATCTGCAGCTTTCTCATGTTTATATTCTTGTAGAGTCGAGGACATATTTCACAAGAACTTATCCAACAGCTAAGTAGGACGTCCTGCCATTAACAAGGAATAGTATAGTGGTGTTAATGTGTTGTAAAAATGCCCGGATGACATGGACAAAATACATCTTTCAGGACAGTAAAACTAGTACTTATCTAGGATAATTTGTTAATTTATAAAGGAGTTCACTGTCTGGAACACCACTGCTCTCAAAGCATATTGTTTTGTATATTTTAGGTTAACAGGAATCAACAATGCAATCAAGCAAACAGGAATTACAACAGGTCACAATCTATCACTGCAACACTGCTTTACATCATCATGAGAACTTCCTATATGATGAGGGGTCAAGTAGCTTGTCTGAGTGGATGGTGATGAAGAAAATATTCAAAAAGTACCAATAACTAAGGGTACTTTTAATTTTTCATTACTCTAAATCTTGGATGTAAACTTCATTCTTGTTGAGAATGCATTGAAACTGAGTCACACAACTTTTATTGCAAGTCCACTACCAGTGCAGCTCAATTTCCAACAAAACCTTCTACATTTCTGACAAATTTCATATTTACAGTATTGCATGTACATGGAAAAACAAATAGTGCCCTTCTCAGCATAGCAGACTGATCTCAGCTGACTCCCCCTGAAGCGGCTGAGAAACAGTCTGCAATCAATCAACACTAATGCCGTACAGTTATGTAAGCAGTATTTTGCATAATTAATCTCAAATTATTAAAAAATGTCAAGTCTAAGATGGCGGACGCAAAACAACTATGAATTATTTTTCATAACAATGTAATTTATGCAATTTTTGGCGTGATCACATTCCGGCCCCTGTTGTGCAGGGGTAACTGTATGGCATTAGTGTTGATTGATCACAGACTGTTTCTTCGCCGCTCCAGGGGGGGGTCGGCTGAGATCAGTCTGCCATCGCAGACTATTCTCAGCTTAAATTAAACCTTTTAGAGTTTCTAAAAAGTGACCATTTACCAGGAATGATTTGAGCAACAGAGGCTAGGAAATCAGTTCTAATAGAAGCATACTTTATACACTAAAAAAAATACCTTATGTGAACTCTCTAGATGACTAAACACAGAAGAAAATTTTTTTAATATAATGCATATATTCTGGTAACCTCCTCAGATTTAAAATAATTACAAAATTGGTCCTGAAGAAAAGTAGGCGGTTCAGACTCTCCATCCCCCCTGGGGCTACCTTTTGCTGATACTGGCCAATTACTCATATTTTACTATGATTGATATATCAGATATATGTATATGTGTATTCCAGATCCTATTTAGGAATCTATTTCAGTTTACAACCCACTGCAGGTGCAAGAGACTCTATTCTGCTCAACTTGAAATAATTTTAATCACTTAAGTGACAAACACTGATTCATGCTGTTTAGTCTATGTAAAACATAAATGTAGGAAATTTCAACACCAAAAAGTATTGTTTGTATATAAATTGAGTGCAGGTAGTCATGGTTGGTATGATTTTGGTTGGAACTACATTCAAAAGATTATGAAAAAGTGTTGTCTGTATATAAATAAAGTGCAGGTAGTCATGCCTGATGTGATTTGAAACCTAGTTGTTTTGAGGGAAAGCTCTACGTCTATAAGTTAGTAGTCAAAAGTTTTCTTTAGGATAATTTCAACCAAAACATGGCAAGTTTATGGTAGGTAGACCTGTATGACCAATATTGATAGACCACTCTACCAGATGTTGTGTCATTTTTGACTTCTTATCTCATGTAAAAAATTCATTAAATATCAAAACCAATATAGTCTACATACATTATTAGCAGTGATAAAACCATGTAGGGAATGTAGTCAAAAGTAGCAAGACATACCAATATCTGAGTCTATTCAATGTCTTTTGTATACAAAGTACTACTGACATAGGCTGGCAATATTCTGATGGCAGCTTACTTGAAAATGACCCAACCTACTCGACTCTGTCATCTGCTATGGTATTGAACATGTCAAATTAAAATATCAATCAAAATTACCCCAAAAAATTTATAAAAAAATATTATACACACACCCTAGGTGAGTATTGTTATAGAAATTTAATGAAAGAATGTGTGGATTTCACAACACCCCCAATTTCCGGCAAAAGTTCTTTGATTATAAATGAAAGAAAACGTTACTATGCCGGCTTGGACTGACAATCATCAATTCCGCCACAGCATTGCAGAGTACATAGACAATGTTTGACTAACCAAGAGGGTAAATTGCAAACAAACAATCTCATTTGATCAACAAATAATTCAAATTGAGTTTTCTATGAAGACTTACCGCAGATTTCACAACACCATTTTACGCTAGAGCCGATATTTTATCGTACATTCTCACATAAACTTGAAAGCTACTTTCGTCTCTAAACAAGGCTTGCCGTTTCCGCGAGTTTAAAAAATGATTTCCTTAATAAAAGCTTATTTTCTTAAGGTTTTTGTCTTGGTTTACAGTTAAAGGAACAACGGCTTTGTCTGCAGCAATAAAATACAGGTATACAGAAACACGCGAAACAATGAGCTGAAAACATTATGTAAACATGACATTGCGAAACAGTCAACACCAGCGGTTTAAATAACTGCGAAATGAACATATTATAAACACAGATAGCGAATGTTGTTTGATTCAATAAATTGTACAAATCCAAGTACTAAAACCTGTACAAATTCAATATGTCTTGTTGAGATATCGTGACGGTTTGTTGTGCTTTTTCCTCACCACAACACGCAAAGCAATAATCCCTCCGGCAGTTTGCTACATTTAAATGAGGATTTCAACTTGCATCGAATACAAAAAGAACTCTCTTAATATAACTGCAAAAACAACAATTTTTGCCATACCTATTCAGGGTAGTGTCCCAAGCAGTCTCACCAGCTTGAGCCTCGAAATCTGACACGTTAAACTGTCGACGATACGTATTCGAGCAGGGCCACATATTCAATGAAACAGCGAGCTGCGTGCAAGCTAAACAATTACTCCAACTCAAAGACAAGTCTAATAACTCTTTTGCTTTGAGATGGGCTAATATTTGAAGGAAACGGCTTATCCGTTTAGAACGGAGTGTTGTGTATTGCGGAAGCAATTAGGTCGAAGATTACAAAGCGTGTCGTGCCACCCCGACAAAAGAAAGCCTCTCTAGAAACGAACCCTTCTCGCCAAAATTGCGAAAAGTGGCTGGCTAGAAAAGCTTTCTTTTGCGTATCGTTTCACGTGAAATATCAGCTCATTCTCTTACCTGTGAGACACATTATGACTAGGTCCTCTTATAGTGGACGTGTAGTGTGCCATCCCTTTTTTCTAACCACCGACGTTCATGCAGCTAGAAAATATATAACGCGTTTTACTCTCCCAAACGTACTTGAACGTCCGCGTCGAGTTTTACCAGTTATACCGTCTACGATTTCACAATTTTTACCGCCAAATGAAGGACACGCTCTCTATAACACTCAGCAATCTATTTTCGGGCTCTAAAGCGTTCAATTTTGCAGAAATCCACACACAAAAACGAACACTTCTCCCAACATTTACAACATTCTCAAATCAACAACACTTGAAATTTGAGAACTCGTAGTGAAATGAACATGCACAACACCAAATATTGGTCAGCAGAAAGTCGCGCTCACGCATGCACTGGAGATAAATTTAGTAACATGTTTGTGCGGTTGATAACATCACGCGAGGTATGATAATCACCGAGTCCAGCTATTATAAGATCAAGAAAATTATTTTTTAGATATAAGAAAAAAAAACGGTAAAAATCTGCCACCTGCCACCCATGTAGAGTTCTAATCAAATATTTCTTAATAATTTCTTCTGGCTTTCCCCATCAAAATTGTCTGAAGGTCTAAAAGCATTCCCCCAAACCCCACTAGATTTAACCCCATATCCAATTGTTCTATAAATATATTATTTCTTAAAGAAACACCTGTTGTTATTAATACTTGCTAATACCCTAAGGCTAAACCAATACAGGCAATAGCCAGAGGTCAATAGTCATATTTTTCAAAGATTTTAATTTTTAAAGACTTCTTCTCCCTATTTTTACATAATAACCATTATAATATATCCTCACGACCACACCATCCGAAAACCAAACTTCACACAAAGAACGGCTGCGAGGGAGTCTTATCAATGGACCGGAATAGTGACTTTACGACTTTTGTATTACGGGAAAATGCCAGAAGTTACTGTGAAACTACGGACCTGAACACCACAATAAATATAAAGCAATAAGTTTTTAAATAATAAACTTAGAAAGCTAAGTAATCAGTTTTATGTGGATGTTATTTAAGTAAGCGATAAAATTGCGGGCAAGCGCGGGAAAAGTGGAGGCGGAGCGTTAACAAACCATATGCACACAGATGAGCAATAAAGAAATAGTTTTAATATACGACAAAAAATACTGTAAATATGAGCGAAGCAGACAAAAACGAAGACCCATTCCAAGACCCAATTGAAAGGAGGAATTTACGATTTAAATATCGACAATTGATCACTGACACTGAACGTAGGTTGATTTTAATGTATTACTTCAATATGGCATATCGTCCACATAGTCTGATTCTGTCTGAACAAATTTGTTCCAATTAAACACCATGAACCTTTATACTCGGTAACCACAAACTCATAAAAAATACGCATATAAACACATTTGTATAGCTGTATGGCATTATTCAATGGCCAATGGGAAGGCAAGGGAGATATCGGGGTCCAAATCCCTAATCTTCTTGAGATAAAATTTACAGCTAGGCCATCTGCAAATAGATTATGTCCATGATTGTGGACTTGTTCCAAACGGTTACCCAGCTGCAACCAGTCAATGTACGAAGAAATCAGTTTTGGATCCTGTTATTTTGTAATTACACAAACAGTATGGGTTGTTTTCTCTTTCCCCCTCCTTCATTGTGGAACAAGTCAACAATTGTCGATCTGTTTCAACTGTATCCATACATACCACAACAGTTTTTATGCTTGCGCTTCTTTATATTTTATAGTGCTTTATAGTGCTTCCAAAACAAAGAAATATACATGTTTTGGCATGATACATTTAAGATGGAAAACAGGCTCTCGTAGTATGTCCATACCCAAATGGGAAACTGATTCACACAGTACAACTCAAGTTGTATAAGCAGGTTGCACGCAACAGTTGCAGGCAAAAGTTGTGTAGATGTAAATTGGCCTTTGAGGTATATATCACAAAGTTATATAGCCTCATGCAGCCATCCTACCCTGTATAATCTAAACCTCTAACCCATTATATATATCAATATTTTATCAGAGAAGCGAGATGAATATGTGCAGCCTGACTCAGATGGCTTACATCAAGTCTTAGGGGAAGGAAATGCGTTGTTTAAGAAAGGTATTGTAATAATGAAGAATGTGATGTGATTTTCATCAGCCATTGTTAAGTGTTTAATGCTAAAATATGTTATCCTTATTGTGATATTCAAGTCCGTAGAACAAGAGAGGCTGCTTTGGATGCACAGTTTCTTGTCTTGGTGTCAAACCTTGGTTTTGAGCAAGCACAGCATTTGCAGACTGGTATTGTCACTTTTGAACCACGGACATTTGCAGAAAAACTGGTATGCCATGTTTCATTCCAAGGCTTGGAGGGTTATTTACCCCCCCCCCCCCCCGAACACACACACACAGGAAAATATCCATCCCTGTGTAATTTTTAACAATAGAAGTAATGTCTTGATAGGGCCATGTTGGAGTAAATTCATATTACAATCCCAAAATGGTATCACAAGGTGTAAGATATAAGCAGCCTCTCCCCCCTATATGAAAGCCCTCTGTCTATAAGCTCATCAGAAAATGCTTATTATAGTCTGAGGTTTATAGTTTACCTCTCTTGATATTAACTAGATAACATTCATGGGTGGTCGTTGTGTTGAAGATGAAACAGATGAAGAAGGTAATCCCCAGGATGTGAGGCTTGAATCTTTGGATTGGAAAAAAATTGGAAAGATTGCTGCAAATTCATTCCGAAGGACAGCAGCAGTTGAATTTATGTATGTGTATCTACTTGTGTGCTAGCTACCACACTATTTTGTTGGACAAAATTAAACCACATCCCACATTGTTTAGACTAAAGTTAGCCTCTGCCAGGTGGGATGGGCCATTTGTTCAAGTGGGTTTCAAAATTAAGGTCTTATGATCTACTGTAATAAATAATGGTAAATATCAGGATATTTTTGGGCATATCACTTGATCAAACTAATGCTCAGCTGAGCTACAACAGAGTCCAGTTTTTGAGCTCTAACCACAAGCTAGACTTGAGACAACTGGACTTGGTAGTTCAATCAAATGATATGCAATCCTGATATTTGCGAGTATTTAATACTGTCAGAAGGCCTATAGTTGCATTTTTTCCAGCTGCTCCTTGTTAATTCTAATGCCCGTATTCTAAAAGCTCCCTCACACTCAATGAGTGGAAATTAAATCTGAGCTTTTCATTAGTGTGAATGCTGTTTTTGAATAGCTGGAGGGTGAGTAATCACAAAGTAAGGTACAACACTAACCTTCCAGCTATTCAAAAACAACAGATTGAACTTCCACTCTTTGAGTGTGATTGAGCTTTTAGAATACGGACGTAAAATTTACACTTGAAATTTCCATTTCAACATTTAAATATTGGTCTGTGTTGGCGTATTACATTAGGCATGGCCCATTATCAATGGATGCTCCAGTAAGGAAAGAAAAAAAGCCAAGAGAGAAAAAGACTGGAGAGAAACCAGGTGCAGCTGCCAAGGTCACACCTCAACAGGTTTGTCAAGCAGCATCTTTATTATATCATGTTTTCCACTCTTATCTATATTCCCAATTTAAATTGATAATTTGCACTCTACTTACCGGCGGTATGTCAGTATTATGGTCTGGTACTTCTTTGTTCCCAGTCAAGTGTACCACCTAGGTATGCAGGGCTCTCACTATTTGCATACTCTGAAACATGTGCTGGCTTACCTAATGGCCTTAGCAAAGTCCACCAGTATATCATTGAATACTTTGAATTTTTGACAGCTTGTGAAGGTTGACAATAACAACGAAGAAGCAACAACAAAGGAGGTTCAGAGAGTGTTTGAAGCCTTGATGCGAGTCACTGATCCAGGTATCTCAGGAATGGATTGAAGGCAGCATGATTTTAATTCTATTGAAATAAGTCACTTAGAGGCCAAAAAATAAAAAAATTGGTTTTAGGTTTCATAGCTTTGTTTGTAAGGGTACTGTAGGTTGAGGTCATAGAAAGTTAGAAACATTTTATTTTATTAATTTTTTTTTATAATTTGTAGTTCTGTGTATGTCATCCAACATTTGAGACAAGCACACATATATATTCTAGTTGTACCACCAGGCTTTGCCCCCCTCCCCCCTGTAAGCTTTGTAGTAGAATGTGGTTCACTGATTTCATGTGTATTAACATGATTTATTCCAGGTGATGATAAAGACCCAAAAGTAGTGTCTTTCTTTGAATTTGTCACAAACCCCGATTCTTTTAGCCAAACAGTGGAGAATATATTTCACTTGTCCTTCCTCATCAATGTAAGTTTATATTTGAGTGTTGGGCCACCATTACTGGCAGTAATATACACCCAACCTCGTACCCAGGATCTTTCTTTGGGAAAGACCCTGGCTGCGGCTGGTCACGTGCCTCATCAAAAATTTAGCGCCTGAGGGGGTGTGGGCAAAGTATCAAATTACATCAACATGCTTCCAGTGGAATATTCGTTAAAAACATAAATTTTGCGAATTATTACGTTCAAAATACTTGCTAATTTTTGTTTATTTTCTTTGCTTTGAATTTACAAGAACATTCTTACATTCTTACTTACAGTCAAGTCAAGAAACAACGCAAATCGTTACTCGCAGTACAGTACGTGCTCTCTCGTGTTGCTATTCAATGCATGCTCTCTTCACAATCGAGCGCGGTTGTAACGAACCTTTTAATATGTAATGTTTTTAAAATACGCCATAAATGATTACATTCGTCCTTTCTTGTAAACGTTGATACGCTTTGTACCGATTCACTTGTTACTACGCGTCTTGTTTATAAGATTTTTAAAAGAAACAGTATTCTCTAGGACTGACCCAATATTAGCAAATGTAAACATTTGATAATAGCCGAATAGAGAAATGTCTATAAGTACAGAGGAGATTTCAGTCATTGGTTTATCTGGATTTAGTACATAATTCGTATTCGGTAATTATAGTAAGACTTTTTTGGTCTCTATTAATCATTATATTGTGTTAACATACTATAATCTATATTACAAATTTACAGTTTCAGATGCGCACAGACCGTCATTGGCATCATACGATTGGTACGAATAGACATAAATTTTCGAGTTTTCTAGCCTACTTCTACTAACATTTTTAAAGTTTTCATTGTGAATCACCTGTTTATCTCTAATTCATTAATCATTTACTACTTATATTTATTTGATAGTGTCATATACTGAATAATGCGTCTACACACAAGCAATCCTGGATATGATATAGACGATGCAAGCTGTCCATTAAAAAATAACGGTATTCTATTTCACAAAGCAAAAAAAATTAAAGCTTATTCATGTCAAAACGAAAGCTGTTTACAAAATTTATATAGGTGGTGAACACTACTAAACAGTGCTCATTGAAAGACATGTATAATATAGTGACATATAATTTGTCGTTTGACTTATCTTTGGTGTATGATTTTAATACAGTAGATTTTCAACAGACAGCTATACTTTGACATATACCATGATCGTTGGTTTCAGCCATTAATTAAAAGGGCCAATTTTATAGTGTTTTGACGGGCTTTAAGTTTCTTGATAAGGCCTTTATATAGATCAACAATCTGGATACAGTTGGCGATATTTCGGAAATCAAAAGATCTCGCTATTTCGTTGCAATTCCACATCTCATCAATAAATAAATTCTTTTCGTCCGAGTATCAGGATAGACTTTAATACTAATAAATAACAACCACACTGTTCGGTCTGGAGATACATGTTTTCTTGTAGGTTTAATATTGCCACGCTGCACAAGCGGCAAGCCGCCGCAAGCGTGCTTTCTTTGGCAAGTCTATAGAAATCTGATCCAACTTGCTTGAATTGTAACTCGACACCAGATTATAGAGTAGAACGTCGCGATATAAATATTAATTTAAGAGTTCTCTTTACGATTTCTTGTTGCAAATTTACAGTAAATTTCATCACCCAAAGTTGCAATTTTAAAACGCTACAAACACGCTCCTTTCCCACCCCTCTCACAGTTACAATTAAATTTACCTCCCAGAATCTGGGAGGCACGTGACCAGCCGCAGCCAGGGTCTCTCCCAGATGACAGAAGGAGAGACCCTGGGAACGAGGTTGATATACACCTAGCTCGTCTGTTTCCGTGGTTGTAAAACCTACAAGTACTTGAAAAACAAATTTTGACGTTTTTGTGCTAGAATACAGTGTTTCGTTATTACATCACGAATGCTTTCTTGTTGGGAAGACGCAAGGCAATTCGCTCGCGTGTCGTGAGAAATGATTTGTGACGTAATTAGCAAAAGGATTATTTAGCACAGATGAACTGACTAATGGCTATAATTAATTTCTGATATTTCAACAGAAAGGAAATGCTGCAATTGAACTAGATGAGGACGGATTACCCGATGTGTGTGAGTATACTCCTCAAGTTATCCTGGAATTAGCTTGGAAAAAATGGTTTTCCCAAAAAACTTCAATTTTCACCATTTTGGTTTCACTTTTCCCGGGGGGCAAATGACTGAATTTCTTGCTCTAGATACAATGGGAATGTATTTGATTGTAGATCCGGCAGAGCCATTTTCAGAGAAAGAGGAGTATGGAGACGTGGATACTTCACGAAAGCAAGTCGTCATGCCATTTACCATGGAGGATTGGAGGGTAAGAGTTGCTTACAAAATATAGATCTTACATCCACATGTAATATCTATTAGTCCCCCCCCCCCTTTGACTATAAGAATCGTCTTTTGTTTTTCTCCGGAAAAAGCCACGACTTTCGGTAGAGCGTTGACTGACTCTTACTCACGATCTCAACTCATAGGTGACGTTTAAATAAAGGTTACACATACATGTAAATGAAACATCGATTATAATATGTTTGTGATCATCATTGTTTTCAGAATATTGTTAGCGCATTCAAGATCAAGAAACCGATGATTCCAACTCGGCGAACGACCCACGTAGACGCAACGCAAGAAGAGGATATGGAAGAAGACTGAAAATATTTATTTGTAAAGTTCAGAAAATTTGTGGCAGTCAAAGGAATATGCAAGTTTCAGGATCATGCGCAGTAGTAGTTAATATGGTTATAGATTCATGTATACGCTGTTTATGTAATAGGGTTAAGGACTGCAGGCATGGGCGAAACTATCGGAGGAATGTGTGGATGGATGGGGGGGGGGGGGGGGGTGTTACATCCCCAATCTTCATAAACATCATATTTTAGGGCAAATCAATGTGATTTCGTTGGGCAAATGTTTTAGCGCATGTAACTTCTGCAGTGACTTAACATGACGTAACATAACGTTCAAACTTTGTATTTTTACTTCATGTTATTTTCACTGGTTATTTCCAACTACAACAGTCGCTAAGCTAAATTTGAAAAACATCACTACTGCGGATGATCCTGAAACTTGCCTATTGGGAAAACACTTTTTTTAGCTATTGTATACCGTATCGGTATCCCGGAAATGGTTTTGACCAGTACCTAAGGGTTGCCTATGTTGTTGCAAGTGTTTGTTAAAAATTAAATGAAGACCAGAAATGGTTTGTATAAAGTTAATATTATAAGAGTTATGTTCGTCTCAAGAACCGAGAACAATGTTTTATATTCGATGCACATAAATGTTGTAATTAGATATGTTTATAAATAATATTAAAGACAATCTATCATGAAGGCTACGAGTCTATGACGTAGGTTATGTCACATGACTTGGTGACCACAGTTGCGACCAAGAAGAAATGAAGCTTATGAAAATACAACATACAACAGCGCCTCACTAGCGTGAGTCACGCATAAACAAGGGTTTCACCCGACATGCTTGCCACAGGTTTTGACAGTAAAGCATGTGCTTTACTTACAGTACTTTGCTTTCTCTTTGTGAACTTTAACTTTGGGATTTTTATGAAGTTTTTTCTCAAACAATGCTCGAAGTTCCTGCTCTGTTCTTGATCTTGGGTCTCCACCATGTGTTAAGAATTCATTGACAACCTGCAAATGCAAGGCAGAAACGTGCCCCGTTTAGACTACTTGCAGTTCTTGGTACGGCATGGATAAATGTAAATAGATGGTCTCCGAGCACGTCACCCAAGCCCACACTACTGCACTAGTTCCCACTAGTGGATGATTACAAGGTGTCAAGGGAGAATTATTAAGGAGTTTACGATCTACGATGCGGCTGGCTCGACGACGCGCTTTCAAAAAAATAGGTACGCTTGGCGTACATGTATCTGCGAGAAAGCAGCCATATTTGTTTTACTGCCTGTTCGCAGGCGTACATCCCTAATTAGTCTACCTGAGTGTTTAACGCACACACAACCATAGAGATTATAAATAACACTAGAGGAGGCATTGTAATCTTAATTCAGTAAAAAAAAAGGGAACGCGACTATTGGGGGGCAAATTCAAGTCCCGGATGTGTATTCGTGTTCCCATTGGTGACGAGTTTCAAATCAGCCAATGAGAGCACGATTTTATATCCGGGACTTGAATTTGCCCCCCATTAGCTGCGTTCCCAATTTTTAAACTCGATGCCTCCTCTAGTGTTATTTATAATCTCTATGCACACAACTCGATAGCATAGTATCTAGCGCTACGCGCAGATACAACAAAGAAATTTGGTGTTTCCACAAACAATAGCATTATGTGTTTTATCGCCATGCAAACCTACAAACAACTTATAAAGAAATTTGTCATACAAGACAAAAACTGTCAATAATTCGTGGTCCCATGAGTATTGTCAACCGCGTTGTCATTCTCAACACAACGTTAAAAAAGCATTACGTCTTTCAGGCAACGCGAAAGCTTAATGCGACACAAGAGGTGTTACTAAAATTCGAAATTACAGCAAACATTGCATCGCTTTAGCCGAACGTAGCATTTTGTAAGGTTATTTGAAAGAGTCAAATATTTGTTACTGTCACTAATCAAATTGCTTAGCGCTCATTCTTGAGCTAAAATTTAGACCGCGTCGTTGAGCTGGCCGCGTCGCAGATCGTACACTCCCTAATAGCCCGACTGCTGAAAGATGTCAAGGAGGGTTAATAAAAACAGAAGTATGGAGTATGGGACAATTGATTTCAAGCACCATGTTTTTTGCCAACGTGCATGAAAATAGGTTGCCACACCCACGGCATTTTTTTTGACGGTTAGTTTTGACACCCTGGCTAAACGTCTGCTGCAGTATTTTACAGGTTATCAAATAAACTCAGATTACCTTTTTCCGTAATTTCTTTACAGCCATTTCGTTGTCAGGTGCTGATTTTAACACCTTCTTGATGACGGCTTCCCATCTGAATTTTTCTGATAGAATAAATTTGAAAGTAAAATAGCGGTCATAGATTTAAATGGAATCATCATTGACTAATAATTAACAAAATCTCGGTAAATATAAGGATTTTGAGCATCTTGAAAACTAAATGTTGAAGATGGGAATTTCGATCGAAAATTTACACATCCGCTGACCTAACTAGGAGTAGAAAAGTGCAACAATGAAATAATCTATTCCAGTTCTAAAACCTTGTGTTTCAACAGTTTCTTCATTATGCCCAGTTTCGTTTTGTTCTTGCTGACAATCTTGGGACAACATGTTGGGTTCTAAAAACGGTAAATTTAATTTTTGTAACTAACTTGGATAATTTCAATACTTGTAGCCTTTGATGAGGATCTAGGCTTGTAACTTTGTGAAATAAATGTGGTGTTTTTCACAAAAACGACTCAAAATTACACACACCCATATTTTCTAGATTCTTTAATTTTCTCTTTTTCTTTCCAAGTTCATCATTCTGTCCTTTTTCACTTTCATTCTCTTCTGCTTCATTTGGTTCTCTTTCAACTATCTCATCATATTTTCGTTTCTTTTTCTTCTTATTTTTACCAACAGTTTCTCCTTCATTACCATCTTGTTGTTGTTCTTCCATTTTTCGTTTACTTTTATTTTTTCTTTCCAGAATTTCTTCTTCAGTTCCATCAACCTGTCTGACTAATTCTGCCTCCATTTTACGCCTCTTTCTTCTCTCACGTTTTGATTCCTTGTGGCTCTTTTGACTAGTTTCAACTTCTTTTTCTTCTTCTTGGTTTTTCATCTCAACAGTTTTACTTTCAGAGCTCTCAGAAATGCCATTCTCACCACCACAAGCTGTTTCAATATTTTCCTCTGGGACATTTTTACTTGAGTTTTGCTCATCATTACTTTCATCTTTTGACACATTTTGGTTCTAAAAGCAAAAATTGGCAATAAACAAGTTCAAAAATTGTCTGAAAAAAAGTCTGACCAAAATAAAATTTGATATTAGGAAACTTAATAAATTCAATAAAAAACTTCCAAATATGGTCAGACACTTCATTTGGGCAAAAAATGTTAAATTCAGGTTATTTCATTGCAATCCTCTATAACATTTTTCAATTGTCTCTCTGGAAAGAATCAGCCCTGTACAGTGTGCACCTATGCTGTTCTTTTCAGAGTTCATGTTGCATTTTTTAAATAATAATTATTCAGTAAATATCCTCTTTTGAAACATACCCTTGCTCCTGAAAAGGTTTGCCATAATTTCTCAAGTAAAGCTTGATCTCTGATGTTAATGCTGTTTTCACAAAATTTCTAAAGGAAGTAAATGTGACAATTACACTTACCAAATTAATTTACTGCAATCAATTAATGAGTCAGGTTCCTGGATATTCAAAGGTTAATAAGACTATTTTTAATTGCAGTTGTAAACCATTAAGCAGGAACATGTTCTTGAATGTTTCATTGTATTACATTTGATTTGTTTCAGTGTCTTACTGGATGGGTCAGGTGACCCATCCAAATAAGTAATACTGTACATGGGGTTTGACTAGAACATTTGCTGTTGGTGATGTCTATAATGGCATCTGGTAGAATAAATCCTAACATAAAATTCACACTGGCATTAGTGGGTTGATACTGACATGCAACATTATAACCACCTACCTTAAATTTTGCTTCTTTCCTAGGCACATTATTGTAAGATGTAATTTTGGCCATCAGTTTTCGAACACGGGGATCTTGGTTGCTACTGTCGCCAGATGCATTACGTACTTGCTGCATTTAGCAATCATAAATATAAATGATAATTATATTAACCTTTTAAGTGGCAATGTGCCAGATGCACCCTACTTTATTATTTTACTCTGTCTAATGCCAGACGATTTTACTTGTCAGGGGGAGAGTGCTGCCACTCAATGGGTTAATTAAGTTACTATTAATTACACCACAATACACACTTACTAGGCACCTGTTAGGGTAGATATACACATCCTGGTCACAAATTATCCAAAGAATGCTTTGTATGCATGGGGGGGGGCAAAAATGTGGAGGGTGGGCAGGGCTAGATTACAGGCATGGGGTCAAATGACAAATCAGAGTGTAACATCAAGGCAATTAATTTTTTTTTAACGTGGATACCCAGACCCTTTATACATAGAGTCTGGTTAGTTGCAGGCTAATTTAATACCTCAAGCCATTCTTGCTGTTTCCGCTCCCCCTTATTTGCTTTATCCTTCCCCTTGTATAATTTTCCTTGATATTTTTCTGCTTCACTGATACAGCTGGTATGTGATGCATAAGAGTCACCAGGGAAGTCTTTTCCACAGTCTATGCAGGACAAGACACTACAACGTCTACACTCAGTTTGATAATGCTTTTCAACTTTTTGCTTCTTGATAGTCTGTCCACAAGCATCACATATAAAGTTCACCATTATTCAGGAAACAATCCCAAGATATCCTCAAGAAAATGGGTCAAAAACACTATTTTTGTGCACTAAATATTGCCCATTTTCGTTACACCATGTGCATTTATTTACTACAAATTTTTTTGTCGCGCCAGCAGTGTGACCAGATTTCTCCAGCGGTTATTACCAAACTTTGTATTCAAAATTTACTAAATTGAGAAACAATTTTGATCAAAATATATTGGAATAAAAATGAAGATTTTGTTGACATTTCACTCGATTGAATAATAGTTGAAAGATCTTGTAGATGGAATTATCGAGTGGAAATTTTATATACATTTTATGTACATAAAATTTACGCTCGATAATTTCTAGAGACACCCTCCCCCCGGATAAAGTAACACGTGTACAATTCTTTACATAAACACTTCATGTAGTCATAGTTCATATGATGTAGTGTTCATTTTAATATATGAAATGTAATAATGCTACGTCTATTAATTATCGAATACAATTTGATAAAATCTTATTGCTGTTGAAAAGATCATATCATTAATACTAGCTGTTGTAGAAGCAATCAAACAATTTATTAAAATGGACATTTTGTCATTAAAGAAGATCTGGCTGCTAGGGATTTATTAAGGATCTTGAATTGGCCATTGTGTGCCTTGCTGTGTTAATTATTCAGTTCATGGTGGCTCACTTGTTTTGTTGAGAGTGTGACGCGAGTTTTTATAATATGGTGAGCCAAAAGACAGTTTTAGCTTCCTTGTTGTATTTTTCTGTTTTTGTTTTCGTCTCAATATGGTTAATGACAAGAAACTTTCCTGAGAAACAGTGTGATTGTACAAGATGTCTGAGGAAGGCTTTACCAGAATCACAAATCAAGTCTAAAAGGAATACGCAAGATGACAGTGTTGTTCAAAATAATATAGGTAGGCTATAAAACAAGCCTCATACCTGGGTACTTATATGGAAAATCACGCTAAGCAAGTCAAATAACCAATCACTTCAGTATTATATAGTTCAGTGGTTAAGCCGCATGCTCGCTCAGCTTAACCACTGAACTATATGTAACACTGAAGTGCTTACTTATTTGACTGAAGTGCTGCAGGCTTGCTTAGCGAGATTTTCCTTATAAACACCTGGATATGAGGCTAGTATAAAACAGTCATTACATGGTCATATAAATGATGTGATTTATAGAGAGTTGATCATGACATAGTAAACCCTGGTGTTTCAGCTCTGACACCAGCTCCAGCTGCTTTAATTAAAGCTCAGATATCCGGCTCTGGCTGGGTTGGTTCACAACTCAGGGGACAAATTAACCAGATAATGGCCAATATTACTTGGCTTAATTTTGTCCCCAAGGTAAGATGATGTGATCATGTGATTAGAGTATGTCTGCTGCCTAACCCAAACACATGATGGCGATTCAGGTTGCAAACAAATATTATAACATTTTTAGAGCATGCAGATTAAATGATCGTATGAAATATGGTTCTTATTTTCAAGAGATGTAGGGTCAAGAAAAATAAAAGTTGTACTTAAAAGCTAAATTTATTCAGTGGCATATATTTTCAATTCTGCTGCAGGATCAAAACATCTGACAACACCAATTGTACCCATACAAATTATCTCCAAAATAGCAACCACTTCACAGCCCAAGGAACCAGAAATCAAATTAAGAACAGCAGCTATTGTGAAGCCAACAAACCTTGAGACAATGAAATCTAGACACAAATTAGGAGTGATTGTACCATTCCGAGATCGTCTTGAAGAACTTTTAGAATTTGTACCATATATGACCAAGTTTTTGAATGAACAGAATATTGAATTTCATATTTATGTTATCAACCAAGTCGATATTCACAGGTTAGTGTGTTGGTTCTGATATTTATAGTTTGCCTGTAGTTACGAGTTATAATTACATCGATTCCTGCAATGTGCTTTTTATTTCTTGTCATAATTTTATTCAGCACTACCAGTATGAGTTTACCCAGTATGTACCATACTGCAAGCTTACTCTTATAGGTACTCTGGTTTCCCCATGAAGTAACACTAGTCTGGAACATTAAGGGATGATCCTTACTGAAGCTCTGGAAAGACTATAAAGTAGGGCACATCAGGGAGCATTGCCACTTAAAGGATTAACAAGATGCATTGGCTGATTAACCCATTGATTGGCTACAGTTTCCCCTTGGAGAGTAAAATCATCTGGTTGTAGACAGATCTCTTATTACTACTTTGTATACTCTAGGTTTAACAGAGCTGCACTACTGAATGTTGGATACTTGATTGCTGTAAAGGATGCATGTGACTACATAGCGATGCATGACGTTGACCTACTGCCTCTTAATAAAGATTTAAATTATGGCTATCCGGTGGCTGGCCCATTTCATGTTTCTGCTCCATTCTTACATCCAAGATATCACTATGCAAAATTCATTGGTGGAATTATGTTGATGTCTAAACAGCAATTCCAAAAGGTCTGGTATTGAATGAATCATTGCTTTGATTTATACAGTATCCACGTACAAATCTCGCATCTTACAAACGAGTGACAAACGAGTGGTAAAAAAGTTGTCGTTTTATCAAGTTGCTACAAGGTTGTCACTCAACAAGTTGTTGAGTTGCAGGACGATAACAAGTTATTGGAACAACTTGTAACAAGTCTGTTGAGTGAACAACATTGTAGGAAGTTGTCACAGATAATACGTCGTATTTTTGTCGTCTATTTGTCGTATTTTTACTACTATAATACTGTTCTGTTGGCGCTTTTTGTTAAAAGGTGAATGGTCTGTCCACCCTGTTTTGGGGCTGGGGTCGGGAAGATGATGAACTTTATATGAGACTTCAAGAGGCAAATATGACAGTGAGTAATTAATTACAACAGTATTAGTTTCGTTAATAGATAATAGTTTCGTTAGTTTCTTTATGATAGAAAATACCTAGTTCTTTCACTGTTCAATTAGGATTCCAAAGCTTATTGTTAATATTTGTAGGTAAATCAACCAGTTGGAATTACAACTGGGTACAAAACGTTCAAGCATAATCATGGCAGGAAACGGAAACGAGATTATCCAACTTCGCGGAAACAATTCAAGGTATAAGAACGCTTGTGTGCAATAAATTGAGTATAAATGTGTAAGAACTAGTTGATTCAGGTGAAGTAGAGTTGTCAAGAATAGCAGGACAAGATGAAAAGAATTTTTAATCTAATTCCTCTTCTTGAGTTAATCTTTATTGGATCGCGCACTGGTATGCTGCCGCTAATGAATTCAATCTGGGCAACCACTTGTGTTTAGTATTACACTCTTTCAACAATATCCCCCCATCACACCCTACGTCCTAATTTCACTGGATCTTTCTTTATACTCTATCCTCCCCATCTTCTCTTCAGTTTAGTGTCTTTGCTCTCTTTTCACAGCCTTCTTCCGTTTCATCCTATGTCTCCCAACTGTTTGTGGTCCTTGTACAGGATGTATCCATATTATCTTCACTGGATCTTTCTTTATACTCTATCCTCGCCATCTTCTCTTCAGTTTAGTGTCTTTGCTCTCTTTTCACAGTCGTTGTCTCTCTGCCTCATTTTTGTCTCCCAACTGTTCGTTGTCGGGTCATCATTCTACTGGGTCATCATTCTACTGGGTCATCATTCTACTGGGTCATCATTCTACTGGGTCATCATTCTACTGGGTCATCATTCTACTGGATCATCATTCTACTGGGTCATCATTCTACTGGATCATCATTCTACTGGATCATCATTCTACTGGATCATCATTCTACTGGTCATCATTCTACTGGATCATCATTCTACTGGATCATCATTCTACTGGATCATCATTCTACTGGTCATCATTCTACTGGATCATCATTCTACTGGGTCTTCCTCCTCTCTTCTCCTGATGTGTCCAGACCGTCACTTTCTCGTTTGCCTCATTTTCCTCAATATCCGTTCTTATGTCATTGTCTTTTGATTTCATTTTAGTCGTCCTTCAACAGAGATCGTGAAACTGGGTTGAATACAATGGATCATAAAATAATAAGCAGACATGAAATGACTATTGAAGGCAATTCCGTCTCCATGGTTGCCGTTGAATTGAATTGTAAATATAAAATAACTCCTTGGTGTGATAATTAGACAGTAATTATTTAATGAATATATGTATTTTTAAAGCTAGTTTTTAATAAATTATTATATATGTTATGTATTTTTTCGAATCGCGAATTTATCGATATTACATTGGGGACGAGAAAAACAAACTCCATTTGACGCTTTTGTTGATAAACTACTGAGTACCCCCCCCGCCCC